CCCTTGCTTTGTGGGTAAGGATTTCGAGAGGAGCTCCCAAGCGGGGAGAAGGAGCCTTGGGAAAGAAACGAGTTGGCTTCTCTGCTTTGCTTTTAGATGCACCCATAGGTGTGCATTTCTCTGTTTTCTTCCCTATCGCTGGTATGAGGCTCTCACTGGAAGCTGGATGGCCTTTCTGGGACTTGTTATTCACACACACACTCTATCCCCTTCTATGGCCCTGTCATTCCAAGTAGAGTATTGCGCCCTGCAAGGGGGCCACCTCCAGCATTCCTCTGCCACCTTCCTTGCCTCTTAGCGCCCCTAAGTCATCCCAGCCCCCCAGGGGGAGGTCCCGCACATTTTGGGAACCACTGCTCTAAGTGGGACTGATCCTGTTTCATTCAGGGGGGGGGGAGATTGACCTGCTGTAGGCATATAAAAGAAAACCAGAGCTCTGCAAATGCTTCAAATGAGATATTTTGCAATCTACACAATTTATACAAAATATGTGTGTGGCTGCAGACACTTCACTTCTCCCACCTGACTCTATAGCTGTGATGGTGAACCTATGTACATGCATAGGGGGCCATGTGTGCATTGCATTTTGGGGGTTTGGGTGCAAATGCACTTTGGGCACTTGGTCCGGAAGAGGTTAGCCATCACTGCTCTATAGGAAGGGATGGGTTTCCAAAACAGCTGCACCAACTTAGGAAAAGATGTGGCTGTTTTAACAATTGGGAGGAAGAAACACCACAAAAGTATTTTGCATGCTTCATATTTTAAAGTACTTATTTTGGAGACTTTGCACAGTGATAGCGTACAGTACTTGAAATCAATTACTAGCTTATTGATTATTACATTATTAATTCCAATGGGTTACACTGAGAATTCTGTCGAAATCTGCTCTTTCCTATTCTACATCAAGCTGGCTTAAATTGTGACTTGAACCCTTGATCCTTTAAGCCTACCAGCATGTCCATGGAAACTCAGCTTTAAAAATGGTTAGGTTGCAAATAGCAATAACAAATGATAGCAATGGTGGGGGGGGGGGGGAATCCGTGTCCATGAGAACCGCTTCAGAATATTGTAGTCAGTTTGGTTATTATATATCTATGACTAAGAAAAGTGAAATGAGTTTCTTCATAGCAACTCAGCCTGCGGAGTCCAGCGCTCTGGGAGAAGGAGACTCAGCTGTGGTGCTGCTTCCCCTCAGCAAAGAAGTGGAGTGAGAGTTGCAGAAGTGGCAGCCCCCCACTTAAGAAGAAGACCAGGACAGCCGTGCCACCATGAAGCCTGTGCTGCTTACCCTTCAGCCAGGGAGGCAATATTTCATCTTGGCGAAGACAGGCAGGTGGCCGGGTGGGAAGCTAATGGGCTGCTTCGAAGCCCCAAACCCTATGGAGCTGGCACAGGAGGCATGCGGGCCCGGGTGGAAGGTGGCCTTTTCTGCAGCATTCCCCTCCCCTCTTTGCATCACTCTGCTAGGAGGCTCTGCCTTTGCAGAAACAAGGTGGGCGCATGTGCAGCAGCCACGGGATGTCTGCTTGCCCTCCTGGAACACCCCTCTCAGCCCCAGTGTAGCATCTGCATTTCCACCAAGGGCCGCCCGCCCATCCACTGGCGGGGCCAGGCTAGACACCGACCTTGGAAGGCAAGTGGGCATGGGGGACCACTGAGAAGGCCACGTGGAAGGCAGTCAAGCATGGCAGGGCTGCAGAGAAGGGAGTAGGGGAGGCATGTTGGGACAGTGAGGGGGGCAGGGACACCTAGCTAAGCCGTGACTCACAGACTTACCTGGCAGGCAGATTGGGGTGCAGGACTTCAGGCAGGAAAGCTGCAGAGCAGAGACTGGTCGGGGCGAGCGAGCGGCGACTGGGGGACCAGTTTGGGAGCAGGGCCAGACAGCAGTCACTACCGGTTTGGCAACTCAGGCCAAATGTCCACTACCAGTTCTCCCGATCCAAACCAGTAGGATTTCACCCCTGGTATGAGTGTATGCATGTATATTTGTATACAGACACATATAATGTGAAATTTTCATTCCTAATGAGAGCCGAGGTGGCGCAGTGGTTAAATGCAGCACTGCAGGCTACTTCAGCTGACTGCAGTTCTGCAGTTCGGCTGTTCAAATCTCACCGGCTCAGGGTTGACTCAGCCTTCCATCCTTCCGAGGTGGGTAAAATGAGGACCTGGATTGTTGTTGGGGCAATATGCTGACTCTGTAAACCGCTTAGAGAGGGCTGAAAGCCCTATGAAGCGGTATATGTCTAACTGCTATTGCTATTGCTATTGCTATTGATGGCAGGTGAGTATCTATAATACATTTAGAAATAGATGGGTAGATGTACAGATGAGGGAGAGCAAAGTTTTTTAACATACGCAAAATCCCACAACAGCTTGAACGGTTTATTCAGCAAATCCTGGAGGATTACAGGATTACCAAAACTTCACTTCTTGGATAGATGAAATGTAAAACAAATAAATCAATCTTGCTCTGAGATCTCATTTGCGAAAGCTGAAACCCTAAGATCTGTCAGTGTTTTCTGATGTGAGTTAGTAATTTGAATCTTGCATGATTCGATGAATCCATAAAATTATGGCCATTTTTAAAGTGTTTTTGAATTATCTGCATTTTAACTCAATGAGAGGAGAGTGTGTAGTCTGGCCAAAGATAAGAAAGACTGAGTATTGTAACTAAGCAGCATTTGAAGAGCCACGGGTTCTCCTGCACCATTGCTGCTTTAAAAAAAGATGTAGAAGGAGTAGCAGAACCTGGAGGGAAGGGGCAGAGTTAAAAGAGAGATCAATCTAGAATCCATATGTAGCCACAAGTGAATTAAGTCCAACCTTCCTTTAATTCTGTTGACTCTCATCTAATCCCAAGCAGGTGCTAAAGTTCATTGATAAGGTTTCTGTGCATACACATGGTTAGCATTAAATCATTTTGACCTTTACATGTGGACTCGATCTTTAGTGCCTGACAATACAATTTTAATAATCTCACTTATTAATGGGCGTATCAGAACAATAAGGAAGTATGTTAAACTATTCATTGACTGGGAGAAACATTGGTGCAAGGTCAGCCAATGAATAGGCATAGCAACTAAGTCAGCCAATGGGAGCTTAAACAGATCTGAGTCTGTGCAGAG